TTTCTTAGGAGTTATAATTGTTTTTAGCTGTAAGCCTGTAATCGATCCATCTGGGCTCCAATAGTGTTTGGAAAGGGCCAATTTGAAAAATATTGGTCTAAAACATAGATGGTTTAGGCAAATTTTAAAAAATTATTGGATTTTCAAAGGCTAAAGGTGACATATTGTGTACATTTCAATCATCGGAAATTATTTTGGTGAGAGACTATTAGGTTAGGTGTCTACATATAATGCTACCAAATATTTGGAATAGACAAGGAAATAATATTATCATTTACGGAGTAAAAGAAATGGCAATATACCACATTTTTAAAGACAAAAGTACCAAAATTTTAAAGCATATGCTACTATTTGACGTTGGTTAAAAGTATGCATGGAGTATTTTTATTTTTATTTTTTTTTTCGTCGAGCAATACTCCAAGTAATAAAATTAAATTAGGCATGTCACATATTCATACAAACTACAAGCCAGTGTAACTTTGCTCAACTGTTAAGTTCTTCTGATTCAGAGAAATTAAATTCAACAAGGGACAGAAAAGGACTCTTGCTTCTCAATTCTCATCAGATCTAATCAATTTGCAATGAATTACTTGAGTAGAGTTTTGGCCCCAATTTGCAAACTAAACCATTGTGAAGAATTAGATTTATATTTTATTTTTATAAGATGGAATCTTGACCTTACAACAAAATCCAACAATTGACATTTCACCTGGGCAAATGCACAATAAGTACAAATATTATGCACATTTAATTCAGAAATTATGCTCAATTATTTTTCACATTTATTTCCCTCGGTCATTTTTCGTCTTCACCGTGACGAACTCTATCTCTCTCCTCTCTTCAGAAATCGTGGCTATGAACGACTTGCAACTCCAATAACAAGGATAAATCGGTCGAAATTTAAATCATAAATAAAATATAATACAGAGTATATACCATATTCCTGGGCCTCAAACATCAGCTTAATTAAGCTGATGTTGAGTTGATCCGTTAATTAAGCTGATGTTGAGTTGATCCGTTAACATGGTATCAAAGTCAGCGTGACACAAAGGTCACGAGTTCAAATCTCATACACCGTACCCCTCCTTTCAAAGTGGAATATTAAGCGCAGGGTATGAAAAGGGTTCATGCTGGATCCACACTTCAAACCTAGCTGACTCTAATGTGAGGGGGTGTGATAGTATAAAACATATTCTTGTGTCTCAACCATCAGTTTAAGCTTTTGATTGAGATGGTATGTTATTCTTGATATTGTTAACACGACTAGAGCTGGATGGAACTCCGACGAAGGAGGGGCGGTAGATTAACTGATCCATGAATCACAGTCATTTGTCATGTTGTTGGTGCGGCAACAAGGAAAGGGCGGAAGCTAAGTGAACAATCACAGGTTCTAGAGAACGATAGAGAAGAAGAGAAAATAAAATAATGTTAAAAAAAAAAATTGTGGAAGCGAGTTTACAAGACTAGACTTAATGTACTCTTTGATTATCTATTCCTTAACTATTTATCTAATAATAAATTTTTAAGGCCATTGTTAATCAAATATTTTTTTTTTTTTTTTTGGATGTATATATAAAACCAAAGAACTTTTTTATGGGTTATCCTAACCAAGTAACCATTATTCTATGATACTTATGCTTGTCATGTACTACGACTCTACGAGGCACAAGGGAATTTTAGAATTTGATTAATTGTGTTAATTACATACTTGTATAACTAATTAAGATCTTCAAAATAATTAAGCACTTTCTGTTGAATACTTATCCAATGATGTAACTGGTAGGAAAACGAAAACCGCAGTATTCTTTCTAACCAAAAGCATCTTTGCTTACTTAAACCATTAAAATAAAACGACAACTATTACTAATTCGTGGTTGGTCAGAAATTTTTTTATAAAACATTGTTTGTTTAATCATTATATGTTATATGTAATGTATGTGACAGTGAACGGATTCCTTAGCAAGACCTATTCTCTTGAATTAAGGAAGAGACAAATATAAATTATGTATATTGAATGACTTAATAGCATGTTTTCACGACAAGGATGATTCGTAAGAATTGCTAGATGATCACAAATCTCGAAGAAAATGATTTATCCCCATTTTTGTGCTTAATCAAATTTGATGTGTGAAAATTGAAATGGTCGATCTTATTATAAAGATATACTACATATGTGATTAAATTGATTTAGAAGTTGCAATAAATTGATTGTTTGCATTGAATTTGGTTCTAATGAATTCCATTTGGATGATTAGTTTTCAATTTGGGTCATATACAAATCTATTATCACTTATTATATCGGCATATGTGCTCAAAAAAAATTGAACACTTAGTAAAAATCGGAAGGAGTAAATAATTATGACAATTTCAAAGTTAGAGAGGCAGAAAGATAGATGATGAGAATCGATCCTACTATCTTCATCCTAAAATTAAAAGGCAAAGTCTTATCAATTGAGCTATCTCTCACTCCCTTCCATTCCCCTAAAAATTTATGTACTAAATAAAATTCTCATCTCTTATTTGGTGGGGTCTATCATTACCTAGGTTTATAATTGTAATCAACAAAACTTTTATACCCAGCTACCTTTTCAATTCTCTCATCTTCTCTATAAACAATAGGAAAAATTGATTCTAATACCTTTAAATTATTATTTAATAATCCTATCTTTATAGGTCATTCTCTTTTATTGGTCCCTTGTGACCGGTAACCTGTACATTAGGGTTTATTTTTTTTTTTTTTGTCATTTTAGTGACACGTGTTAATACATAAATGGTCAAAAAAGAAAAATAAAAAGACAACTTAATTTTTTTTTTTAAAAAAAAACAGCCACCCCAAACACTAACACCACCTCATCCACGCTTCCGACAACCATTCCTCCTTAACCCTCCCCTTAAAATTAAACCACCACGATTCCCACCCCTACCCCAGAAACAACCTTTTCCCCTTCCCGAGCGCTGAAAGCAACACCAGTGAGTACAACAATGGAGGTTGTAACAAACATGACAACTTCACGATTTTCAACGATGATCACAACAGCAAAAGAGTCTTCAAATGACGTGTTTAATTGCTCAAAATTACCCTTTAAAATAGCACTCATGAGATCTAAAGGTGAATTCTTGATTGGGTTGGAAGTTGGAACCCATTTGATTGACGAAAAACAGTGATCAAATTTGTTTGATATTTTGATGAAAAAATTGGAGGATTTGATTATAACCCAAAAATCAAATATGGTGGGAAGAAATAATTATATAACAAAGGAAAATGGAGTCTCTCGCAAAATAAGTTTAATTTTAGGGGAAGGGGGGCGGTAGTCGTCATGGTGGTTTTAGGTGAAGGGGAGGTGGTTCGTTGGGTGGGTATAGGGAGGGGGGTTCTGCGGTGGTGGTGATGGGGAGGGGATGGGGGAAGCCAGAGAGTGAATGGGAGGTGCGGATGGGGTGGCGTGAGTTTTTTTTTTTTTTTTTTTTTTTTTTTTTTTTAAAAATTTTACAACTAATCACAACTTAATACATGGCACTGTAACCTATTAAAATCGGTTATCAACAGGTTAGGGAACATTAGAAGAAGATCTCCTATAAAGTGGGATTATTAAATAATAATCCAAAGGTGGGATTATTAACGACAAATCGGCCAAAAGTGCGATTATTAGAATCTATTTTTCCTAAACAATAAACTATTCTTGCTACTTTTTTAATTTTTATTATTCAATAACTATAACCAACTACTCCCTAGCTATATAATACAGTTCCTCTCCTAATAAAACATTGTGCATAGGTGAAAGGATGCATTTATTTATAAATGGAGTGTTTATTATTTTTCCAACATTCGTAATCTATATATATTGTTATTTTAAATTACTATTTTCCTTGAAAGTAAATTTAAAATTAGAATTCCATAACCAAATGGTTATTGTATCTACTCATATTTGATATTTTCACCAAGTATATTCAAGAAAGCACCAGGCAAGACTTAAGACGTGTTCGCTTCACCTGATGATTGGACCTAAGCTAATCTAAATTGAACATAATAGAACTATTTGTGCCTGGATGGAACTTATATTAGACCTAAATGAACGGATTAGAACTACTTATTCGACCTGATTGGAACTTATTAGACCTAATTTGAACTTATTAGACCTAATTATAAACTCTTTAACCATTATCATTGTTGTTGTTGTTGTTGTTGTTGTTATTTAATCCATTACTAATAACTACAAAGTATAAATTAATAACTAATAATGTAATTATCAAATAGTAATTACTACTTTTTGTTATACAAATTTAAAAAAGATTGTTAGTAATTATCATTGCTAATGACGATTAAAAATAAATTATTAATAGTTTTTATTGTAGTATACTAGCTAATAAGTAATGATAAAACAATATACATAACAAAAAATAAAATTGTAATACTAATATAACTATAATATTACTATTTATATAATATTTAATATAATTTTATTAAACATGTTTGAACTTATTTAATTTAATTAAAACATATTGGAACTTAGGATAGGGTGTTCTATTTACCTGATTTCACTAATTTGAACTTATCTGAACTTACTTGAACTTATTAGACCTTATTAAAACTTATTTTAGTTGTAATTTATACTTGGGTAACCCTTATCAGAACTTATTTTTCCTGAATTGAAATTATCTAAACTTAACTGAACTTATCTGATTACACCTTAAATAAGTGAAAATAAGGTGAACAGGTTGAATTTTTTTTATTTTTTTTTTTTTTTTTTGGTTAAAAAGGTGCAAATAGATTACTTAGTCCTCATGAAGGAGGTTAGGTAGTACATTACAGTTAAAGTCATATACTCATATGGCACAAGGAGGCCATCAGAATTACATGAAAACATAAATGGTTCAAAAAGTAAGTTGATAATACTACTCATACTAGTACTATTACAATCAGAGAATGGGCTTGCGGCTAGATTCCATAGCACACCATTTCCTCCGGGCATTAGACCAACTTGGTGTGCCATGAGATGGGCCTACCGGACTGCCTCTCTTGGGAGACACTGAATACTCTTCACCTTCCCCTCTGATATGTACTCCTTGCAGACAGTAGACAAATTAAAATATTTGTCCCTGATTTTTTGTTTATCACCAATACCATTGACAACAGTCCTAGAATCAGTAATGATAGTGACATCCTCCCATCCTCTCTATTTGATCCAAGATAAACTCACAATGACAGCTACAAATTCAGCTAAATTGGCATCCTCCATAGTGGATTTCATAATGAAACCCCCTTTCCACTCCTGAGAAAGCATAAAGCAACTATTCCCACTTGAAGAGAGTTGGAATTGAAGGATGCATCTACTCTAACTAGAAACTGAGTGTTTTGGTAGGGATGGGTTATTTTGACTAAAGGGTTTTGGGGTAAAGAAAAAGGTTGAGCATAGAAGAACTCTGCAACAAGCCACTTGACATATTTTAAGGCATCATTTAGGGAAGTATTTTTCTGGTTAAAGACCTAGGAGTTCCTTCTCTTCCATATAGTCCAGTAGGAGAAGGCAAAAACAACTGGCCATGGGGTAACACCAGTGGTTAGGGGGATGAAAGATTGAGAGATATCCACTCCTTGAATTGAAGTCCATCATCCCATGGAGGATGATCAAGGGAATTCCAGACCTCTAAAGCTCTGGTGCAATGTCTTAAAACATGGTAGGCTGATGCATTAACTGTTTGACAAAGAGGGCAAGTAGGGGGGGGGGGGAAGGCTAGCCTCTGATATGGATGGCTTCTCTTGTGGATATAACACTATGACAAGCTTGCCAGAAAAAACGTTTGAATTTTGGAGGGATTTGGGCATTCCAAATTACACCCCAGAATTCATTTTGGGTGGCCAAGGGGTTTTGGGCTAGCCAGATCTTTCTGTAAAGGGTAGTGGCTTGGAAGGATTCTCCACTTACATTAGCACAAATGAGCTGATCCTGGGAAGAGTGAAAAATTTTCACTGAGTATATTATTGTCACAATTGATTGAGGGAGTTGGAAGGAGATGACAGAGAAGTCCCACTTTCCCTGACTAGCCACCTGTCCTACACACAAGCGCTCCTCAGAGGGGGAGAGAGGACCTTGAACAAGATGCCTAAGAATACCTAGAGAGCACTATGAATCAAACCAGAAAGACAGCTTAGAGTTCATGCCCACCACCCAAGCAGATGTGTCATTAAATAAGTTCCACCCTTTTCCCATATCTTGCCAGATATAAGATCCTTGATTGAACTTTTTGGGGGTTTCTCTATTGGCCACATATCTGTGAAAGATGACTTTGGAAGCAAGATTATCATATGAATGTATTTTCCAGCATAGCTTACAGAGTTGACAATGGCAGTACTTCTAATTCCCAAACCCCTAAGATCTTTAGGAGCACAGATTTTCTGCCAAGCCACCATAGGAAGTTTCTTAGAGTTTAAATTAGAGCCCCAGAAGAAGTTTCTTAAACAGGAGTCCAAGGCTTTTAGAATAGGTTTCTACAGAGCAAGGCATTGCATAGAGTAGAGGGGGATGGAGTTAAGGGTTGAGTTAATCAAAACAGTCCTTCCAGCCTTGGATAAATACTTAGCCTTCCATTGGCTAAGTCTCCCCTGCACCTTCTGGATGATGTATGATAGAGCAGCCTTGGAAGGCCTTCTGTCACAGAGAGGAAAGCCCAAGTAAGTTCCAAGATCAGGGGTTTGTTGAACCCCAAAAGTGGAGGAAATTTGGGAAATGATATCATGTTTTGTATTTTTGGAGAAATAGAGCTTGCTTTTAGCAGGGTTCATCTTCAACCCAGAAAGAGAGTGGTCATCTAGTATTTGCATAATATGTGCAGCATTTTGAGGGGTTGCAACCCTAAATAACATAATGTCATCAGCAGATAGTAGATGAGAGATAGTGAGGGAAGATCTAGGAATGAAGATGGGGTCCCAACTCCCAGAAGAGCATGCATCAACAATCATCTCTGAGAATAATTCCATACAAAGGATAGATAAGTAGGGGGATATTGGATCTCCTTGTCTGATTCCCCTTGAAGCATTAAAGAAAGATGTAGGACCATTGAACATGACAGAAGAAGAGGTAAAGGATACACAACTCATGATAAGTTTTCTTGTGTCCTCATCAAAGCCATGGTGGCAGAGAGCTTTAAGGATGAAATCCCACTCCAGTGAGTCATATGCTTTCTCTAAATCAATCTTGGTGGCAAAGAAACCTTTGGCTTCCTTCTTGATTCTCATAGAGTGAAGAATTTCAGAGGCTACAATATAGTTCACCCCTCTTCCTGGGAGAAAGCTATTCTCATTTGGAGAGATCATGGAGTTGAGAAGGGGTCTTAGTTTGTTGACCAAGATTTTGGTGACAACCTTATAGGTGGTGGTGCACAAACTTATAGGCCTGAATTGCTTTATAGTTTGAGGGGAACTCACTTTTAGAATCAAAGTGATAGTAGTTTTGTTCAGCTCTGGAGGAATCTGTGTTTTGAGAAAAGATGGAAGAGATTTTGGCAAGGAGATCATCCTGATCGATGGTCTCCCAGTGCCTTTGGAATAATAAGGCATGGAAACCATCCCATCCAGGTAGAGGTGGCCAGTGGGCCGGGTTGGACCCAGCCCACCCTGACCCGCACGGATGGTGGGTCACGGGCGTGGGTCTGACCCGGTACCAACCCGACACAGCTCGGGTTGTGTCGTGGGTCCAAAATTTTCAACACAACTCATTTCGACCCAACTCGTTTTGACCCGTTTTATTCGGCCCAACTCGCATGACCCATTTTGACCCATTTAATTCGACCCACCCAACCTGACCCATCCCACCTTGCACGCCCAACTCGCACGGCCCACGACTCAGCTCGCCCCGCACGCACGACCCACCCAACCCGCCTAACCTACCTAACCCGCATGGCCCACCCAACTAGCACGACCCACATAAACTTCTTATTATAAGTAAAGGAGTGGTTTGATTGAAATATTTCGTACTTTTGATGGTCGTGTTAGTTTTACAAATGATACATGGACTTCTTGTTTTAGCGAACCTTTTCAATTCTTTGCATTACTGCTCATTGGGTGGATGATGATTGGTTTATTCAAAAACGTATACTTTGTTTTCAAGCTATGTAAGAAAGGCATACCAGTTTTAACATCAAATTTCGTATTATGGATTGTCTAAAAGAATTTCAGTTGAATGGTAAAGGTTTTTTTTTTTTTTTTGTTGTCTCTTGATAATGTAACTTTAAATACAATGTGTTATTGACTACTTGAAAAATGACTCTTGAGTTGAATTTGTTGTTGGGTGGTAATCTCTTGCATGTTAGATGTTGTGCACATATTTTGAATTTCTCTGTTCAAGAGGGTCTCGGTGATTTGCAACCATTGCTAAACCGAATTAAAATTGTTATAAAACGGATTAGGATTACTTCCTCGGTTAGATGAAAAGTACATAACTATGTGTAAAGAGAGAGGTCTTAAGAAAAGACAATGGTCTATTGATACCCCTACCCGTTGGAATTCTGCTTTCAATTTATTGAATGATGCTGTAAAGTATCGTGACATTTTGACCATACTTTACAATGAGACTCGTGTTGATCCTAGTGATCAAGTTAATAACCGAAAGCCATTGGAATAGTGCCTCTTTTGTTCGTGAGCTTTAAATGCTTTTGATCATGCAACTCATATTTTCACTTATTCTATGAGTCTAACATTCATTTAGTCATATTGGAGTGTGTTAAAGTTGTTCACACCATTGAAGAGCATATGAAAATTGATGGACTTCGTACCGTTTTTGATAGCATGAAACGTAAGTGGCATACTAATTTTAGTTAATGCTCAATTATTTATGGAATTGCTGCTATACTTGACCCCGGTGTCAAAGCTGAAGATTTGGAAAATCTTTTAGCTATCAAATGGTTAATTTTGTAAAAATTAAACAACCTTTAAAATAAATATGTGCAAAAAATTATTTCAAAATTAAAGTTCAAAACTATTAAAAAACAAACTTGTATATTTATTTGACCCACACAACCCACTTAGCCATTTAACCCTCCCGACCCTAACCCATGAATGCAGCTTAACCCAAACCCACGAACCCACCCGACCCTAACCCACCCAACCCACAAACCCAGCTCGACCCACCCTCCAACCCATCTCGACCCACCCTCCAACCCACCCAACCCACGAACCCAGCTCGACCTACCCACGACCCGTCTAACCCACGAAGCTAACCCTGGTGTGTCCAATTTCTCTAACCCAACACACGACCCAACCCACCCTACCCTACATGGGTCGTGTCGTGTGTCATGAAACCCTGACCCGCGACCCACCTAACCCTAACCCAACTCGCACAGCCCGCACGATGGACACCTCTACATCCAGGAGCTTTCAAAGCCCTAATTTTGAACACTGCAAATTTCAACTCATCCATTGAAGGAACCATGGCTAAGTTGATACTTCCATTTGCTTTGAACCAAAGCATACAATCTCTTGAGGAAGAGAATAGATTTTGAAAATAATGTTGGACATGTGACTACAACTGAGAAGGATCATTAATAGTTTGTCCAGCAGAGGATTCAAGAGAGGTAATCCTGTTTTTGGATCTCCTCATGATGACAGAGAGATGATAGAATTTGGAATTCCTATCTCCTCCCTAAAGCCAGCTTTCTTTGGACCTGGTAAACCAATATAATTCTTCCTGATCCAAAGTAGCATTGAGGTCTAAGGAGAGGCTTTCCTCTAGATTCCAAAGGAACTGGTTATTCCAGAGGAACAGGTTGGATCTGATTTGAACTTATTGGATCTAATTGAAACTTATTGATTTGATTGAAACTTATCTAAAATTATCTGAATTTATTATACTTAGCTTGAAAGTTATTTTTAAAGGTGAAGAGAATGAACACATCACCATATTGCTTAATTAGTTCACTTAGGGAATGTTCTCTTCACCTCATTGAACCTTAACTTATCTGAACTGAACTTATCTATACTTATTGGAACTTATCTGAATTTATTAGAATTTATTAGAACTTATTGAAACTTATTAGATCTGATTGAATTATTAGTCAGACTGAACTTATAAGAACTTGTTATTACTATCAATTAAATTCATAGAAAATTCTAATTAAATTATTTTAACCCAATACAATCTAATCGAATTTATGTAATTAGACTTACAAAACTTATTAAAACTTATTAAATCGGATTAAACTTATCCTAATTTATTAAACTTATCTGAACTAAAACTTATTTTTTTTAAGATGAATAGGTTACGCTCTTAGTTGGTTGGGGTACGCTTTGTAACCTCTCTCGCCTAAAAGTTTTGGGGTAGAGGGACTCTGACACTTCTTCTCTACTTCCGAATGTCCAGTTTGCAATACTAAATCAAATAAACCATGAGAGTTGGGATTAGAGGTGTAAATGAGCTGATACGTTCGTGAACAACTCGCGGACAAGCTCGGTCAAAGCTTAGGCAAAACTCGTTTGTTATGCTAACAAACAAGCTTGAACAAAAATCTTAAGCTTGTCAAATAGATAATTAATGCGAGCAGCCTAGCATTATGAGAAAATAGTGCATCCCTCTTTGAGAAATTCACACTATAATCCCAAAATACATTTAATTTCTATGGTAACTTTGCCATTATCTCGCTGTTAACAAATTCCGTTAGTGGGGCCTATTTTCCACTTAATAATATTTTATTTATCAATTTGCGTGTTGAAAATTGTTCCGTTAAAGGTTTTGGGGGCTATTTTGTTCTTAAGGGTCCAAATTGAGCTCAAACTTTAGAAAAAAAAAACGTAAACGCCTCTTTTCGCGTATTAAGAAATGTCTCGATTTGCGTGTTTACATATTTAATTCGCAAAACGAGGTATTTACGTTATTTTTTTGTCAAATCTGAGCTCAATCTGGAACCTTAAGGAACAAAATAGCCCCCAAAATCTTTAGCGGAATAATTTCCATCACGAAAATCGATAAAAAAAATGTTATTAATTGGAGAGTGGGCCCCGCTAACAGAATTTGTTAACGGCGGGATAACGTCAAGGTTACCGTATAGAAACTAAATGTATTTTGGGGTTATAGTGTGGATTTCTCAAAAGGGGGGGCACATCGTAGAAAACGGAAAGTTAGAGGGTTATAATGTAGAAAAACCCTTAATTTATCTATCCACTAGTTTTTTGCCCAAGCATGGTCGGATGTTTATTCACCAAAAATATATATACTAGTTTTGTGCCGGGCCGATTCCCATAAGGTTGATAAAATTTTAAGATAACATTTTTACTTGAATGTTAAATACGGTCAAATAATTAATTCTTATAATGTAGAATATTTAGATAATATGATATCATATGGAGTGTACTTTTTGTGCCTGGGCGATGCCTGGGTTGATTAAATTTTAAAATAACATTTTTACTTGAATGTTAAATATGGTCAAATGATTCGTTATGATAATGTAGGATATGTAAACATACGATATCATATGACTTATATTTATATAATAGTTTGTAGTTTTGTTTGTAAATAGATATCTATGTTGTTATTAATTTGAAATTGTATTTATTGAACTTAAATTTTTTTCATTGAATTGAAAGTATTTTCGCCAAACTAAAATTATTTTCTACTAATTAAAACTTATTTTTACTAATTCTCTAATGTTTTCTTAAATAAGTTAAATAACAATGCATTTTTTATGCGGCTAGCCACACCATCTGGCCGGACAAAGTAATACCTATAAAACTGACCAAGTAACTCTTGTAATACTAACTGAGTAACCATTAACATTGACTAAGTAACCCCTATCTATAACACGGATTGAGTAACCGCTATAACGTAACACTGACCAAGTAACCCCTATAGCACTAACAAATTGAAGTAACTTTTATAATAGTTGGTGACACTGTTTGGCAAGATACCTATAAAAGTTTGTGATTAAATATATTATAAATGAATCTTGTTTTAAAGAACTTTTTAAAACGAATTTGATGATGGATATGGAACATAGTTATAGGATATTTATTAAAAGTTATGATTAATTTTGTATATATGAATATTAGAATTCTATCGATAATAAAACTCTATACAATAATTTTATCTTAAAAAATTTATCCAAAAATCTCTTACTTAGTATCATATGTGTCACAATAATACCTACTTTTTGCTTATGTGGCGCGATACTTGGCGAAAAATTGGAATGCCAAGTGTCGCTGTCTTATGGTCTGGCTGCGAAACCGGCTTTATATATTAGTGATATGATATGATATATATATATATATATATATATATATATATATTTTAAATCATATTATTTTTTAAGGAAAAACAAATTTTTAACAGAATTTTATTTTTATTGTGAATGCAATATGTGTACTTTAGGATAATTTTGGTGATTTCTGTAGTATATAGTATCGATATTAATTAATTAATTAATTATTGAGGTAATAAAAAAGACCGGCTCTTGCTGCGCCATCCACGGAGAAAACGTTCTTGTCAAATGGCCCGAATTGAGAGATCTCCTGAAAACAGATTCTGATTTTTTTTATTTTTTTTATTTTTTATTTTTTATTTTTTATTTTTTATTTTTTATTTTTTATAAATTCTAATTTTCTATAATTTTATTATTCTCTTTTACATATTGTTGGATCAGCATAACTTTCACAATAAATCACTTTAGAAATTTAGTTATGCAATCACTAATAGTATTGATTTAGTAAATTGAACAAGAGCTGATCTGTTCGTCAAAAAAAAAAAAAAAAAAAAACAAAAAACAAAAAAAACAAGAATTCGTCACCCCAAACTAAATAGTCATATCTATTATAATGTTCTTTGTAGTGTGTAAGCGTGTACATGCAATATGCCTACGGCCTACTTCATACAAGATTCAGCCTTGCTCGATATTTTTGATAAAATGAGTAAACCTGAAATAACTTACTAGTTCAATTAAATAGGTCAAGTGATTTCATAAAAAAGAAAAAAAAAAAATTAAATAGGTCAAGTTAATATCGAACTCGAGACCAGTTTAATTAGATGGTTCAGGGAAATGGTAGATAATATTTTGCATATGCCTTCAGGCTAGCAAAGATCCAGGGTACCTAGTACCGGACCCGGGACCGGTTAGGACCCGCCGGGTCCGAACCCAGAATTGGTCTCACCGGTTCCGGGACCGGGTCCAAAATTTTGGACCCGGTTGTAACTGGTTTCGATTCCAAATCCTAAAATTTTGGACCCGGTACCCACTGGTTACCCGGTTGTATATGATATAGTATGTTGATTGTTTGTGTCTTTAAGAAACTAAAGAGTTATGTACAACCCATTTTAATTTCTAAGCCCAATTGCTTATAAAACTCTCAACCCACTATCAAACAAAACCCTAAAACGTCTAGATTTTTCTCTCCGCTCTACTATACCGATTACCCAACATATATTGTACAAAATATATTTAAAAAAACAAAAATATGTTGAACGTAACTAATTAGTAAAATAAAATAAAAAATATTAATATTTAATATAAGTAAAATAGCTTAATGTATATAAAAATATAAGTATTAAATGCTAAAAGTAAAAATAAACCAAAAAAATATTATGATTTGTATTATATTTCAACACTTATATATATAAGTGGGTACCCGGAATCGGAACCGGTACCCGGTGGAACCAATTCCAATTCCTAAATTTTAGGACCCGGTTGTACCGGTTCCAAATTTTATGACCCGGTCCCAACCAATTTCGGGTTCGAATCCTAAAATTTTGACCGGGTACCCGGTTTTCTCACCCCTTGCAAATCCTGCAATGAGAACAGTTAAAATTTATGTGGTATTATATGTGAAACTTAAAAAAAAACTGATCATGCTTGTCCAACTTTTCTGCATCAAAATACTTGCATGATACTTCATATTAGATTCTACTTTGAATTCTGAATACATGATTCAATTGAAAAGAGGATCATTGATAACTGCAAATTTATAAACTATACATTTGTAAGATGAATTATATGGTGAATCCCAAAGAAGGGGAAAAAAAAATAAAGGTTATATATATGCATGTTGGATGGTGGTCAACTGGTCACTCCTTAGACACTTCCACTGCCTCAGGCAGTTTATAAGTGGGAGGTTTATCAGCACCTCTCCTTGAGTATTCTCGCCATCTACGAGCTGCTGCAGCTGCTCGATTTGCTCGCTCTTTCACCTCCTCCTCTGCATAAATAATTGAATAAATCAATAAAAATAGGAAGTCTAAACCTTCAATAATTAAATCAATAAAAAGAGTAACAAAAGATGGTGGCTTTAACAGAAAGTTCAATGGAAGTAGCCTTTTGTTGTTTATAATCGTTCCAAGAACGATGCAAATCAATAGAATACTAAGTGCTTCTCAAACAATTTAAACCCCAGTAACACAAGCCCATCCGACAGATTGGCTAAAGCAAGCTGTTTTTCTGTGAATATTAACATGGAAGAAATTCACCCAAGTAAAGAGATTCAACATCGTCGCTTAAAAAATGCAAAGAGATTTTATATGGTGAATGGCCCAAGATACGCAAATCATGTAAAGGATGTGGAATTCAAATAAAAAGAAAATGTTAGGCTTCACTTCCGAAATGGATATGGGACTAATGGGAGGCTTAGACTGAAATAGGTTGGAACTCGGAAGTTTTAAAGGTAGGGTGAGAGCTAAATGCATACTTCCTCCTAAATTTGGCAGAAATAGTTGATTCATATTTTGAAAGTTTTCATATGAAATAGTGTTCGTTTAGATTATGCTTGCATCATGCGTACAAGTGCGCCTAGTTGTTCTTTGCTTCCAAATAGCTACAAAATACTGGAAGAAAAATCTCTGGGTTGGTGTTACAAAGAAACTAAGAAAGCCATGGGATCTGAAGCATGAAACAGACTGATATATGATGCGCCAACATGGTTGAAGTTTTAAAGGTAGGGTGAGAGCTGAGAGATAGGCCATATAGCTGTTTAAAGTCCGGAGACAAAGAAACTACAAGAAAACCAGTCGACAGAGGATAATTGAGAGGCTAACTGCACAAATGGTAAAGCACTTTCAGAATAACCTTTGATGAGATATGATATGTTGGGTATCAAGACAATTGATTCATTAGATTAGCTTGTATAACATCGGAAGTTCAGGGGTGTAGCAGAAACTTCTAATCGTGAGTACAAAAGTTAGTATGAAAATAAGTAAAAAAAAAAAAATACTGGTGATAGAAGGCCATCTCGTAATACTGATTCTATGGGGTTTGTAAGGGCTCTCCTTAGCGGATGCACGAAAATAAATCTAAATTATTGCAAAGAAGGAAATTTTATCCCCCTCTTTGTTGAGAATAAACCTAATCTGAAAAGAGGAGACGATTGAACTCGACATTGATTTGATAAGCAACACATCACCTTTAAAATCAGTAATAACTCGATTAATTGGCAAGCTCTAGTTACCTGTACTCTGGTACTCTCTCTGTTTTCCCCAGAGGTTATCCCAGTATGAGTCGGCAGCACCAGAGCCTTTCTCCTTCATCATTCTCAATCTAGCTTTTTCCTGAAACAAATTAAACCTAAAATGTTTTAAGGTATGTTGATCAAAGCAATTTAGTGTAAGTATTTTTGTAAAGAGGCAGACATCAAATGAGTTCTCAAAAGGATCAAGTCAAAAAGCAGGTACTACGTATAAAGTTTTTAACAAAAAGAACACACAATTAGAGTGCTCTTACCAGAAGTTTTGATTGTCGCTTCTCCCAGCGAGAATTGGCCTACAAAATTTGGATGGCTTAAAAAATTAGGAATAACAGATGGAAAAGCAAGTACAGAACAACTCTCCAACGTCAAGATGTTAACCTTTAATACAATACAATGCTGAATATTAAAACATCTTATGACAAACAAGTTTTTTGTAATAGGCATCACATACTTTGGAACCTAAATGTTTGTTAGTAGGTTTTTTTAGAAAAAATACAAAAAAAGAAAAATAAATAAAAAAAAACAGCCAATGGGGTATCTTAAATAAGCGAAAGTGCTTTCATAAAAGAGGGAAACTGGTGGTAAGGAGAGAAATTACATATAGGTTTTTTAATTTTGAGAGCTAATTTTCAGATTTTGAATTTAATGTTTTCACTTTTTGATGATAGAAGTAGTATTTGAGGGATCATACAATTAACAATCGATTCAAATGATGTGCACATGATTCTGGTGAACAGAAAATGGGGAAAAAAGTACAGAGTAGTAGTTACCATTCTAAATACATCTGATGATGATCCCATGCCAGCTAGCATCAGTGCAACCTGTTCATTTTTTCAACATTATGAATACTGTTCAGTTCAAATCAATCAATCAAAGTCTTAATCCCATAAGTGGGGTCGGCTACATGAATCAAAAGTGATTATTCAACAGAAAGAAAAGAGATTCAAATAAGTTCCGGGATCCAGGAGTTGTGCATGCTTCAGATCAGATAACAAATCGTTTGTGTTTTTATACTTTAGTCCAGCTAATTATTCTAAGCGCCATGTCATATTTATGTCTAAGAGGATAAGAAATCAGTTCCTATAAGTGGGAATGAGTTTGACAAACAGACACTTCTATATACTGTCCAGATCAATAAAAACAAAAAAGTGAAGGAAGAAAGGAAACAACACTTCTATATAATGCAGAGATCTACATTACTCGGATTCGGCTGTAGGTATCTGTAACTGAAACATGTCTAAGACTTGGCTATTTTAGAAAACATTTCAAAGCTTCGGTCCAACATGAAGGATAAGTGTTAATAATAAAGTCAGTTTACTGCTGAATGTCCATCAAAGGTACTTCAGGTTGAAATGAAGTGTTTGGCCAAAATAGGCACAAACACATTTTCAAGATCCAGAATAAGGCACTAAGCGAAAGGCTGTTAATAAATTTTTTCAATCACTGCGGGCCTAAATAATAACCTAGTAATTAATCAGAAGCTTCAAAGAAACAGCAGAAAACAAAGACACTTTATACTTACATTTACTCGTTCCACTCTCCGCATCTCATCTTCAAGCAAAGATAGTTGTGCAGCAGAAGTCCAATGAATACAATCAACTGGGCTGTAATCGGACATCTAGTCAATTGAAAGAAAAAACAGGACTCTATTTTTAATGCATATAACAATTAAATATAAAATGCATGTATGAATACTCCTATCTTATACTAGAATATCATTTCGATCACTAAACCAAGACCGTTGTAACAGTGTTCATACCAGCTCTCAATTGCTTGTTGAACAAGGTCAGACATCCCACATTGTTTGTAGGCTCGAGCCCTCCCAAAGTCTTCCTCAATTTGAAAAACATCTGGTGCCACATTTGCACAGTTTTTACATCCTGTGATGGATTATCCAACATGTTTGTGATGATGTTTGACATTCCAAATCAGAAGACACTCGGACTAGAATATATAAAAAGATCATCAGTTTCAAAGTAGTGCATCTACATTACATACACAAATGACACACCTATGCAGCTGAATTCATCAACAAACACGTGATCCCTAGGGCTCGATTCATCCATAAACGGATTCGTCGCTGTCAAAGAATAGCCATGAATTTCATCATACACCATCCGTTGCACTGGATCGCTAAGCACCTATAAGACACGAATTTTACAGTTTCATTCAGACTATGTGACAGCAATCACCTATGAGAATAACAGCTCAAAATCAAGCAGAAGAACTTTTTATTTGCTAAAAATCATACCCCATAAACTTCATTGATGAACATGCAAAAGTTTGTAGTCTCTGGATCATCACCACTCAAATCCGGATGACAAGCTTTCATACAATTGTAATAAGCTTTTCTAATTTGCTGTGGTGTAGCATCTGGTGTCTGACAAATTTGAAACTCAATGTTATTCAATCATAGCTAAAAATTCATGATCATAGCTAAAACATACGGAGTAGCTAATTATGATCATTGCCAATTTCTCTAATAGCAAAATTGCACAACAAATAAACTTAAAACTTCAAACAATATGACAGTTTTTCTCTCAATTTAAACTATGTCTTTTCAATCAAATAACAATCCCACAAAATTTAAATTCCCAATTTATTCATTTTGAGCTTCAAAAATATCCACAAAAGAGATAATCAATTACAAGTACATGCTATAAGTTACCAATAATAACACCAAAATAAAGCCAAAAAAATAAATTAGAGAGTATGGTGATGAAAATTACCAGACCCAAAACAGCATAATAATCATCAGCAAATTCATCTACAATTCCAGCTGAATCATCAGCAACTGCTTTAACTCGAGTTGAGTTCCGACTTCTATTCTGACCCATCACGCGCCATTTATAGCAGCGCGTAGAATGCACGCTCCACCTACTTCTACTTGAATGTGCGTTACTCGTAAAATTATGTACTGGGTTTTGTAATTTGAATGGATCTGCACATACTGGGGTTAACAATTGAGCCATTTTTATAGTTTTCAAGAGCTTTTTCTAGTTTTCTTGTATAAAAAATAATAATAATTCAGATTAATGGCAAAGATTTTTTGATTGTTTTATTTAAAGACTTTTAATTGGAAGAAATAAAAATTATGAGGATGAGAATATTAATTTAATTTATAGTGAAAAATGTAAGTGATGAAGTGGCAAAGTGAGCGCCAATTGTTTCATAAGAATCGGGAGGAATTTGGAAGAATCTGAGAGTGGTAGTTTAACTTCTAACTTCAGCTTGAATATTACTTGCACGTGTCAAAGTGTGGATATATTGTTGTTTGCTCACTTGCCCAACGTTTTTGGTCTTTTTTCTCGTTTCTTATTTGTTAAGAATTTTCTCACATCTTCGTCCAATTGTATTTTCTTTTGCAATTTTCATTATAAACTCGGGGTTTATTTTACATTCTTTCACGTTAGCTAGGTGTACCTTTTGTGTTATTGTACTGGTAATAAACATTTAGTGATATGATAATGAACATATATATAGTTTAAGTAATTATATAGTGCTGAGATTTCAATGACTAGTAGTAGTGATGTGATAATGTACGTGATCATTGTAATATAATTTTATATAGTTTTTATAACAATTTTACAATAATATCCAGCAAATCAAACAATATCTACATAGTAATGTATGAATGTCATCAAAATGTAAATGAGCATCCATCAATACAATAATGAGCATCCATCAAGACAAAAATGAACATCTATTAGAATTTGAATTACCATGTATTAATATTGAAATAAATATCTATCATCACTACTACATTTTAGACCTAATACAACCCCTATTTCCGTTGTATTAGGTGTTAAAAACCGTTGTATTAGACCTAATACAACGGCAAGCAACCGTCACATTTGCTAGGGTTGGATTAGGTCTAAACAACGGTAAAAAGAACCTAATACAACGGATTGGGCAATCCGTTAGATTAGTTACATATACCTAATCCAACGGATTGCCCAATCCGTTGTATAAGGTTCCTTACTTCTTTTTTTGGAATAACTGAACCTAATACAACGAATTGCTCCCCAATCCGTTATATTAAATCTTTCTTCCGTTGTATTAGGTCTTTTTTTTCTTTTTCTTTTCCTTTTTCTTTTTATTATTATTATTATTATTATTATTATTATTATTATTATTATTATTATTATTATTATTATTATTATATTGTCCAAGTCCTGTATGTCCAGATTGTTTAATTTTTCAGATATTGGTATTGTATCTTTGGATGATTAGAATTTGAAATTTGGAAAAACTAAGATATGAAAAATTGAATAACGAGAAACGAAGAATGAAAAATTGAATAACGAAAAATGAAGAATGAAAAATTGAAAAATCTGAAAAAAAAAAAAAAACCAGAAATTGAACCCAGATCTGAAAAAAAAACCCAGAAAAAAACCCAAAAATCGAACAAAAAAACGATCACAGAAAAAAAAACTAAATCGAACCTAGAAAAAACAATCAAAAAAACGAATCCAGAAAAAACGAAATCAAACCAAAAACGAAATCGTAATCGAACCCATAAAGAACAAACCTAGAAATCGAAAAAAAAAAACTAACCCAAAAACGAAATCAAACCCAAATAAAAACCTAGAAATCGAACAAAAAACGATCTAAAAAACAAAAACAAAAAAACGAAAAACGAAAACGAAAACAAGATCTGAAAAACGATCTTAAAAACAAAAAAAACCCATTTTAAAACGATTAAAAAAACGAAAAACAATCTAAAAAAAACCTAGAAATCGAACCCAGATCTGAAAAAAAACCCCAGAAAAAACCCATAAATCGAACAAAAAACGAACTCAAAAAAAGGAAACCGAACCCAAAAAAACGAACAAAAAAAGAACCAAGAAAAAACGAAATCGAACCAAAAAATGAAATCGAAAAAATTGAAATCGAAATTGGAATAAATCGAAATCGAAATCGAACCCATAACAAATAAACCCAGAAATCGAAAAAACACCAAAAAAACGAAATCGAACCCAAATAAAAACCCAAAAAACGATCTAAATAACAAGAACAAAAATACGAAAAACGAAAACAAAATCTGAAAAACAAAAAAAAAACCGATCTTAAAACAATTTAAAAACAAAAAACGATCTAAAAAAAACTAGAATGATGGAGTTTAGGAGAGAGAGAGGGGGTAGATGAGAGAGTTAAGGAGAGATTAAAAATGAGAGGCGTGAGAGCTGCTAGGGTTTGAGAGATAAATAGAATGAGGGGAGCGTACAATGTGTTTTCAAAAGCCCCAAAAAAAAGCCCAAAAGGGTCTAATACAACGGTTTCTCTAATCCGTTGTATTAGCTGAGCTAATACAACGGATGAATTTATCTAATACAACGGTTAGTATAAATCGTTGTATTAGACCTATTTTAGCATAAACCGTTGTATTAGACTACATCTAATACAACGGTATGAAATTAACCGTTGTATTAGCCAATTTTGTATAGTTGTATTAGATTAAAAATGTAGTAGTGCATATATAATGATTTTATATATGAATGAAAAATGGACATTTATCAATATGAAATGAGCATCTAAAAGTGATAATAAATATTTAGATAGTTGTGAAACATCGTTTTAGTAACACGTGTCTTCTTGGTTGATATAACCCTACTTTGCCTACTTTCCTCTTAGGATATCTTTTTATTCGAATAACTAGAATGACGTGGTAATTGAACAAAAGCTAACATGCATACCTTTTTTTAAAAAAAAAAATTTGTAATTGAACAAGATATTACATGCATTAATGCATATCTTGTTAAAGGATTTTGGTGGGAGCTTACAATTTTTAGGTTCAACAAACTGACAATTGTTTAGGAAAAAAGTAATGCTTAATTATCAATTCAACTTATTATAAAACATTTAGTTTTTTTGTTTATGAACATGTTGTTTTTCCAAAATGAACACTTTGTATGTACTAGCTAGATGTTTGTTTTTTAAGAATAGATGTGGGCTATAGTAGTACTCAAGGAAAAGGGAAAGATTCATTTTCTCTTTTATAAAATCAAATTGCAATTTGTACACCACAAATATATTGGATATCAATACATACAATACAATTCAACACATAATATCAAGCATAATAAAATTCTAAATCCAAATTCAAAAAATTCAGGTTTATGTTATTGATTCCGGTTGCTTGCGATCCCATGCCTTCTTAATTTCCATCTTTTTGTTGACTTTGATCATTTTTTCTTGCTATTGTGCAGTGTAATTCACGAACTTTATCCACGGTTCTTCTTTTATCTAATTATAGACAAAGTCATACAAATTATTGGATATGAACAAAGATTAGAGTTGCTGAAATAAACCAATTATTAAATAAAAATTAACATGGAAGAGTATAACAATTGATATAATCGAAACAATATGCAAATGAACATCTATTATTATATTAATGAACATGTATTAGTTTGGAAATGAACATAAAAAGATAATTATTGATGGACATGATATGCATGAGAATAAACTTTTGAAGTTTCCTACTTAATGTTTTAAGTCTTCTATTGCTTATATGTAATATATTCTAAACTAGTTGTAACATATATACTTAAATTAATTAAATAAAGATCTTTTATTAAAATTCAAAATCCATATGAACAACTATCAACATGTGATTGACCATACCTTATGAGAATGAACGTATATTGAAATTCAAAATTAAAATGGACAGTTGCCAATATGTGTGATGATTGACTATGTACCCAAATAAAAATGAACATGTATCAAAATTAAATGAACATTTTAGGTTACAGAATAGAAAGAGTATCAATAACCAAGTGTATATTTGTTAATATGTAATACACAAGTATATATCAATATCTAGATGAACATGCACACACCATTATTTAAATGATCATATTGTAATATGAAAATGAACAATTATTAGAACTCAAATATGCATCTTTTATATTAGTATATATTTGACGTCAACCAAAAATACAAACGAACATCATATTATCTTGAAATAATTAAACATCATATTATCTTACAATGCACATTTGATTTCATACATATAAAAGAACATCTATTTAAACGAGAATGAACATCTATCTAAACGAGAATGAACATCTATCCATCATCAAAATAAGAATAATTATTTTATTAAAAATGAACATAAGGTTTTCTAAATATGAACATTTAAATGATTATTACGATTGACAATCAAATATTATTAAACATTCATCAAGCTCAAATTGAATATTTTCTAACACAAAATTCACATCATCTACTTTCAGTATACACAAAATTATTAATCATGAGTTTATACACTACTTCCCTGTACAATGAGCAGTAAAAACAACCAAAAAGTTGTTCAAAGACACCTACTTAATCAAAAAATTAGCTTCATCAAATATGATCTACTCAATTACTACCACGATGATCTAGCCCTTCTCCAGGATTTCATGGAAGGATGTCACTTTTCTTTGCTCATTCCAGTGGTGCATCCTACACATGTAACCAGCAGCCAGGCCAAGTTCAAGACCAATAAATATCTCCTAGCTTTCGCAACACAGAGACCATTCAAGGTAGCATAATCAACCTTTGAGTCAACCATATTTATCACCAGAGAGAATAGGCACAAATGGTAAATATAGCAACACATTTTTGAATCAATCATGATTCATAAACATATGAACATTATTCGTTTTATGAATGAGCATATGTCATTTTTTTACTTATTAAAATCAAAACGAAAATGAACATTCATCAGAAAATAATTTCCACGATAAACTAATTTTACATTTCAATAATCATAAGAGTTTTGATCAAATTATCCAGAAAATTACAACAATTAATATCTATTTTCAATTTGTTGTGTCTAAAGCTTTTACAATTTAACAACACACTACAAATAAATTTAACATAAAATAGAGTATGTATATCATACGTAATTCAACTATAATTATAGGAAACCACAAGAATTTAATATTTACAATAATTTGTTAGCTAGAATTTTCTGGTGAAATTGCAAAATTCAACTGAAAAAATCAATGAGATAGAGAGTGTGTAACTGTGTATACCTTAGAAGGAAAACAAAATTTGAACGACAACGATCTAAATTGTTATACGTAGTACAACAATCAAATTGGGGAAAAAAAATAGGATAATCCAAATAGTCACTAAACAATCATATTAAATTACTCCAAACCTAAACTTTCAACAACATCAAAAAATAGTAGATCAAATTGAGAAAAGAAGAGAAATTGGTACCTCAATAATGATCTTGCGTTGTGAGGATTTGGTGAAGGACGATTGGATGAAATAAATGGAGAAAATTTATGGGCGGAGTAAACAAGACAAAGCGTTTAGTGCGGTTAGGGGGGGGGGGGGTAGGGAGGTGGTTGAGGGCTATTCTGGTAATTTTGGGAGGGGGGAGTAGGCAGCATTGCCTAGAGGGGGTTGTAGGCATTAGGAATTAACTTAAAACTAAACCATTTTTCATCAACCAAATAGTAGTGTATGGTCAATACGTGGCCCATTAATCACATCATACTCGATATCACTAAATTTCCTTTTGATACACTCTCTATGCCCTTATTATTTTGCCCCAATTGACTTATCACGGTGTTCGAGACGCGTGTAAATACGTAGACATCTCGATCGAGTTGTATGATCGCAGAAATTATATAAAAATTTGATATTAATAAAATATACAATTAGAAGAATCAAACCATTATCTATTATGTTCTCCATCTCTTATAAATTAAATACACTATACGATAAATAATTATCTACTTGATTCTCAATTTATTCCCTAATTTTATCCACGATTTTTGGAAATTCTTTTTATAGTGCTCTATTCCATTTCACTTATCTCAAATCATGCAACACACGACAAAATGTTGACACTACAAGATAGTTATAAATATAGTCAATTACTTGAAATTAATAACGGAATATTTATAAGCGGTAAAAAATAGTCAAATAGTTCAAGTTCAATTTTTTTTATACATTCTATATTAATTTTAGTGTGAATTGGTATTTTGTCATAAAATTCGGTGACATGATTAAGCAAAAAGAAAGGGAAATATAATTTAAAAATGTGTGTGTCGAGATCTACATTAAAGGAAATGTGCCAAAAGGAACTTTCTATTTTCAGATTGTTTTTATTCATGTACTATATTCAAAAAGAACAAACTACAAGGAACATTTTGCAAAAGCGTTGGGTTCAACATACACCTGTGATATGTCAACATTTTATGGTTAACATATTGGGTCCCAAAAAACCTATCTTCTGAAATTTCAATTCAAAATTCAAATATAATTTGGGTTTTCAATGCACATTGATGACACCCACTCTCCCTAACTACCCTCACGCTATCTCCTCTCATTTCTTCAGTCATTTTTTTTTGTTCTATTTTCTCTCTTCTCTCTCCTCTATTGTTCTTCATGTTCATCTCTTCTTTTTAGATTTTTTTTCTAGATTTGTTTGTGAAAATAAACTACATGTATGTTATTTCATGCATATATATTTTCCTGGTTTTTGTTTCTTAAATATATTTTGAATATCAATCTTCTACCTACGATTGAAATTCTTGAAATCTGTTTATAATTTTTAGTATTAAGGATTTGTATTTTTTTCTTTTTCCCCTCTTCTAATGTTCTCCATCTTGGTCATGTTTTTGATGTTTTTTTCCTTCTAATCGCAGCATTTAATTTGCTTTAAATATTGTGTAACAAATCTGATTCTCAGTTTTTATACTCTTTGCAGAAAATTTTGTGTAAACAATTTGTTCCATATTTTTTGAAGAATTTTTTGTTTGTCGGACAAATTTTTTTAAAATGAATGTAAATTTGTAATATTTTTTGTTTTCTATTAATTTATAATATCTTATATTAGCTTTTCATCTTATTCATCTTTAACATTTTGTATTATAGATTTCTAATAATATTTCTTGTCTTTTTCTATTATATGATTTATTTTCTCATCATCCAAATTCGATTGTGGTGTAAATTGAAACATAATATTTCATTCATGAAAAATCAAATATCGTTAATTCCAATGTTACTAGGTTTTTCCTTATTTTCAACATCAAATTCTTAGTAAGTTAGATTATAATTTAGTAACACAAGATCGGAGTTGTAGTAATCATAATGTAAACCATTAACCTCTTTGATTTATCCCATTAACAAGTTTGTAATATGTGTAGTAACAATTATAATTTAAATAGTATTCTAAATCTATAAACGATAGATACGAAGGTAAATACTCCCTCCGTCCCATAATTATAGGCAAATATATCATTTGGGTGTCCCAAAATGTTCCTCCTATTACTAAAAATAACACACAATCATTACTTACGTTTTAGCTTTTCCATACAAAATACACACATAGCTAAAAAAAAAATCATTACTCCCTCTGTCCCTTAATTAAATGCCTACTTCTCTTTATTTTGTGAGTAATAAATGCTAGAAATAGGCATCTAATAAAGGGACGGAGGGAGTATTTACTTTTTCTCTTTTTCATATAAAATACCCACATACCTTAAAATATCATTACTTATTTTTTAACTTTCCCATACAATATTCTCTACTTTTATTATCCCCATACAACATTATTCACTTTTTATCTTTTCCACACAATATTCCTCTACTTTTCCATCCTCCTTAAAACCGTACTTTTTAGAGATATTTACCTGTAATTATAGGATGGAGGGAGTAGTTTATAACTTTGTATCATAATATGTTGTATGACATTTTTAACTCATATTAGAAGGTTATTAGAATAATCTCATAAACTATTTTGTGTATTTCAATAAATATTTTTTTAACATTCAACTATTGTTCACATGTTGAATGTACAATATTGGTTACATATTGTAGACACCTGATTGTGTATCCAATCCCCAAAAACCAAACCCAGTGATGAGTACCTTTCATGTCTTTGATTATCGAGTTAGGTGAAGAGTTGAAGACTCTCGTAAAGTTTCCTTAAGCCTTGGCCATATTTCTAACCTTTCCTAAAATGTTTTAATCATAAATCATTTATTTCGTGTCTTTAAACCCATAATCATTCATTTCGTGTCCAACTTATAAAAACTTCCAAACTATTCTATTTTGGTCCATGATCTTGGTCCAATCATTGCTTAGTTGGATATAGAGCTTGAAAAGAGCTTTCCAACAATATATTATATGTTCAAATCCGACTTATAATGAGTGAGTTATGGCCAAAATACTAAATCGAGCTCAAACCAAGGCTTACCTTGCGGTCTAATGATCATGTGGAGGGTCCAAATACCTTAACCCCATTCCTAAACCAATTAATATTTATTATGAGCTTCTAGAATCATCTAGAAGGTTGTTTTCAATCCTAAATCCATTAGGATTTATTATGAGCTTCAAGAATCCTCTAGGAGGTTCTAATTTATCCTTTCCCCAAAAGATAAATGTTTAAGAATTTGACTTTGAATAAAACATCTCTTTTTTGATAATCCTAATCCCAGTCAAAATAGAATACGTTCGGAAATTTGATTAACCCAATCCGATTGGAAATCGAACTCCGTATGAATTTTTATCTTTAGAAAACTATCGCAGAACGACAAATACATTGTGCCGTGATAGTCCCATCATGTCGCGATGGACCCTGTCGCGCCACGATGAAACCTGTTTTATTTTGATTTGGATACTAACTCTTTTCTGATCTTTCGACCCTCTTTTTTCCTTATAAATAGAGGTCGTTTTACCCCGTTTTCAATCACCAACAATCTTTATCAATACCCTTTCTAATACTCTCTCTCTTTCTCTCTCTCTCTCTCTCTTTCTCTCTCTCTCTCTCTCTCTTGATTTTCATGTTCTTAGCCTAGACTAAACACATCCTTGATACTCATTCCCAATCAAACACCATACCTACTTTGCGAGACTTATAAACTCCTAGCCTTCCTCGACGTTGCCTTCGACCTTGACGTGAAAGGTTGATAGTTCTGAGGGTTTGGTCTATTATTTGATTTATTTACTTCCTTGATTTAATCAGTTTACTAACGTGTGTATTGTTTTAATAGCAAGAAGGGTGGGACATCAACAAAAGTAATTCGATCACTCAATTATTCTTTGATTTTGGAGTAGAAATCTTGCTTAGAATACTATTTTAATTTCTAGTATCATGTTAGGATGTTTTAATTATTTCCAGTATCATGTTTAGGATGTTGATTTTAATTGATAGAATCATGTTTAGGCTAAAGTTTTGATTTTTTATTATTAGTGACATGCTAGGATTTGTTATTAATCCGTTTAGTATCATGCCTAGGATCTTGCTATTAATCATGTTTTGATGATATTATTATAATGATGATTGTTGTGTCAATTATACATTACTTTATTATTCATGATTTATTGTTATTGCTTAATCACGCCCCTTTCTGTAGGTTTAAAAGAGAATTTATACTTGAAATCACGCCTAATATGACTAATTATTTAGGCTAATATGATTTTAATTCAAGTGATCATCAATAATAGATTTAATTGTGCATTAATAATCAACCAACGTAGATTAAATATGCTTAGGGTTAATTTGATGTATGTATGTTGATCGAAAAGCGTACATGAATATTATAAGAATTAAGTAGAGGCCAATTTAGGGCGGGTTCAATCTTTTTTAGGCTGGATTCATACCATCATCCTCGAACATCCAGCCATGGTTCCGGACCACTATAGAGTTAGCAATCTTCATGATTGTGAATGGGGTGTAACCGTCACACCCGTAAACGGTTTACAAGTTACCAAAACTTGTTGGCGACTCTTCTATCTTTAGCTTCTTTCGCTTTGGACACACCAAGCTTAAAAACATGATCACAGTGGGGCTCAAAGTTGAGTTTGAAAAATTCCCTATAGTTTTGGTGACTCCACTGGGGAGGATTTCTAGATTTGATTCCTAAAATTTATTTTGGCAATCGATTTAGAATGAGTGGATGAGACTTGAAAGATTCTAGATATTCATTGTGCGTTATTTTGATTAACATTGTGGCATAAGCATAAAAAGGTTCGTATTGGAAAGACCATCCGTAATGTGTAAAAAACATGGGAATATTACCCGTAGGAAAATCCAGAAATATCTTTCACAACTAGAATCGAAAAAACGCTACGAAAAATCGGAAAATTATCAAACATAGAAACTGCCTCAGAACGTCAGAACCGACGCAGGACACCAGGAACCATCGCCAGAAGATAGCTTCATCATGCCACGGTGGAGCTATCACTGTGCGGTAGTGTCTGTCTTCTAGCGATGGATCTGGTGATTCTGCGCCAAAATTTTGTCTTCTTGTTTTGCCCGATTCTAGTACTATTTCGACGATTCTACTTCCTGATTGAGTTTTTGACCTTTCAGAACCCGTATGTGTTCTACATATGGTTTTAGCCCTTGGGAATTCACGCTTTGTCCACCCTAATCAAGTAATCAACGCTCCGTGCAACAATG